TCAGCTCAGGACATATGTTTCTGATGAGGATCTAATAATCTGTGAGTATTAATTTTTCTTCATCATTTGCATTTGTCCTCAGTTTTGCAATTTCTCTCCTTCTTTGACTCAACAGGAAATTAGCCGCTCTCAGCACATCGTCTGCACTTCACAACCTGCTATGATTTAGTAAATAATTCAAGTATGAACACACTATAAAAAGATCTTGGTCTGTGTGATAGCTGGGCTGACCCCCTCCCCCCCATGATTTCTTTCTAACAAGCAGTACTTTCATTAAAAAAAGCCATAACTCTTAAATATCATGTTATTCTTATACATTTTCTAAGGTCCACATTTGTGTGACCATTTTCTATAATATTTTTGCTGCTGTAAACACCAGAATTTCCCCCATTATGTGATAATAAAGGGATTTTCTATTCTATATTTTCATTTATACCTGAGGTTAGAGTTGAAATTTGAACATAATAATTAGTTTTGTTGAGAAAGAAAAGTTTGATAAACAATCTGAACTGATCTGATCCGCTTGTGACAGTTTCATTGATCACTAGATAGAAACGACTCGGAAAGAATGAAGTTTGACATTAGAAAGAAAAGGCTTTGATGTAGTTAAAGTGCTTTTTTAATTTGTTGTAGCTTAGCTTTGTTAACATTTCTCTGGTGGGTAGGGTTAGGGTTAGTAGTAAAGCTTAACTCAGGACATTTTCGCTAAAGTTGTATTATTTAATCTGACATGTTTACTGTGGGAGCTGAAGGTCAGAATATGGGCTTTCTGTATGGAAGTGAATCTCTGAGTACCTGGAACCAAGAACCTGTAGTTGTTTGTGAGGGTGAACTAATGCATGTAAAGTTTATCCAAAGGAAAAATGCTCAATAGTGGTTGTGGAGAGCCGAAGAGGTGCCCCCCCCCAGAGCATTGAGTCCAGCGCCAGGAGACCCAAAGCCCCAGACGCCCAAAGGGACCCCAAGAGCGAAGGCACCAAGGAGGGGTCAGCCCAGGAAATCCGACACCCACCAGGGGAGGAGGAGAGACAGCCCAGAAGGAGCCCCAGCAAGGCCCCGGCTGGCCGGGCCCCGCGGAGAGGCCGCCAGGAATGAGCCAGCAGCCACCCGGGCATCCACCCCCAAACCCCGAGCTCCACCAGTGCACCGGTGAGCCCCGACGCCAGCCAGCAGAGGGAGAGCAGGACGGGGGGAATGGGCTCCGCACTTGGCGGAGACTTGAGATGTGTTTGGGAGAGGGGGCAGTTCAGACCCCTGCCTGGGAGAGAAAAAAAAAAACTCACAGTCTCAATCACCCCTTCCCTCCCTAGTGCCCCCACTCACACCACACAGAAAAAAAAAACATGTGGACACAAATTCACACATAACACTCACATCCAACAATACCAGGACCAAAGACCCGGCGGCACCGGTGGTTGGTTCCGGGATTATTGGATGACCCAATAAGTGAACCTAAATCCGGATGGGGGGAGGGGAGTGGTGACACCGCCACACCAACCCATCTTATTCCTGCTTCAAGGCCGGCCCCCCACCCCGGACCAGACCACCCCCAACAAAAGCTGCCCCGGGATCGGGGCCCACATGCCCCGCGCAGGCCACCCAACCAGAGCACCCCCCCCCTACCTAATTCACCCAGCCACTACAGGATAGGGGGGCCCCACCAGTCGCCCCACCAGTCTCATCACCATAGCTCGGGGGCCAGGGGCCAGCGGTAGGATTCAGATAAATTCTCCATATTAATATATGATCAGAAATCATTCCTAAAAGCTTAACATTAAGGAATTATTCCAGGTCAGAGTCATTCCAAAACTTTTGAAACTTAATTTAATGTTTTTCTTCTTCTTGTTAAGATAAAGTTTTTCTAGTTAAAATATATTCAAAAATCTTTTATCACTGGAACCATAGCAAACTGTTCTAAGTCCTTGAGTCTTTTTTATGTCATTTTTATAGTTAAATATCATTTTTGAAAATGAAGAAAATCTTTGATTAGTTGTTAAGGATAATTTTGTCTTGAAAGTACTTTTTAACCCTGTATATGCTGTTAAAACCCAGAGAGTTTGGCTCAACAATGCTTTTTGGCTTAGAAATGATGCTAATTCCATTAATGTTGATTCCATGAAATGAACATTAATTGACATTTTATGTCATTTAGATCAGTGTTTCCCTTTGGGAATTTTGTCTTACCATGAGAACCAGCAGAATCTTTACTGTGACATGTAAAAAAATCAGATCTGAATTTAAAACCCTTGTGACTCGGCTTTGAACACAGGCCGTTTCTAACGTGCATACTTGTGCTTGTGAAACGTCGTCATCCTTGCCGCCAGCGCTATTCCAGTTCACGAGAACGGACAAAGTCCCTGGATGTTGTTCTGGCCCCTCCCTCTTTACCCAGCATGCATCAGAGCAGACCTGTCCGTTCTCCAGACTGACAGCTGTCCCAGCATGCACTGCAGCAGCAGCAGCTTCCAGGTTAGCGCTCACAGAGCTCAGAGGATTAAGTTCAATGTTCTCTTTTCTGTTGCTGTTCTACAAAAGTAAAATCATTTGATGCAAGAGTATTATACTTTAAGCTTCACTATATGGAACATTTACAGATTTAATGCAGAATTTTATGTTGAGAGGAACGTGGCAACCATCAGCCAGGGCTAACGTTAGCCCGTCTGAGGCAGCCAAGGCCAATGTTAGCTTTGGCTGCGCCGGCCAGGGCTAACGTTAGCCCGTCTGAGGCAGCCAAGGCCAACGTTAGCTTTGGCTGCAGCAGCAAGGGCTAATGTTAGCCCTTCTAAGGCAGCCAAGACCAACGTTAGCATTGGCTACGGCGGCCAGGGTAACGTTAGCCCGTCTGAGGCAGCCAAGGCCAACGTTAGCATTGGCTGCGGCGGCCAGGGTAACGTTAGCCCGTCTGAGGTAGCCAAGGCCAAAGTTAGCATTGGCTGCGGCGGCCAGGGAAACGTTAGCCCGTCTGAGGCAGCCAAGGCCAACGTTAGCATTGGCTGCGGCGGCCAGGGCTAACGTTGTACGCTTCTGTTTCAGTTGACCCAGATTCAATTTATGCTTCTGATGCATAGCCGCTGCAACCGTCAAATCTGTCTCTGTGCGACCACGCCCCCGACGCAGAGATTCTACAACAGTCGTCACGCACCTCAAGAAAAATCCTGACCAGACGTCGGACGGTCGCAAACCCACGCAGACCTCAAGCGGAAATACGCAGACAAAAAGCAGCTGTAATTGGTCCTTAGTATGCCTTTCCGGCTGTCTGTGTGGTCGTCCTTCTCGACTCGGTGCCGGGGCACGCCATTTCTAAAAACCGAGGAGTAATAACAACGATGGATAACCACAACGAAAGGTTGATAGAGGAGGTTCAGAAGTACAACCGCTTGTACGATACCTCAGACATGTTGTTTTGGAAAATAAACACTCACGCCGTCGCCGCAGAAGAAGTTATCAAAAGTTCTCTAATAGGCTCCCCCTAGTGCTTTGGTGGGAAACTGCTGTGCGTCCCTAGAAAATCCTGACCAACGATGCAGAAGCTTACTAGCAAAACTGGTTAGCGACCAGACCCAAGCCCTCTATGCTGCGTGCTCCCGTTCTCCCCGAGTCCAGACTTCCCTGGTTCCTAGTCAAGAATGGGCTTGGTGAGAAAACGAGTCCATAATCGAGTTCAAGTGAAACAACCATAGTCTGTGTTTTTGCTCCTGTTTTGGCATCAGAGTGAGGACCATTTGTAGCAAACAGAGGGAGTTTAGCTGTTTGAACCGATCTGACTGGATGTGACTGAAATGTCTGATTCGCTGCTGCATCTCTGAACTGAACAGTTCTGCTGGGTCTACGGCTGCGTGTTCAGGTCAGGGTGGAGACTTTAAATAAAGTTCTGCCTGTTTTAAAGACTGGATCCTGACATGTCAACCAGACTCTTTAATTCGATCATCAGTGGGATTCAGTGGAGTGGGAGGAGTCCACTCGGTTCAAACTTTACTTCCACACCATGCTGGCTCTGTGTCCGTTTCAAAAACATCTTTGGTTTATTCCTGTTAGACACATTATTCATAGAACCGCCACCATCTTTCCATCGTCACCAGGACAGAGCAACGAAATCCCCTCTCTGCATTTAACCCCCCCCCTCCCCTCCCCTCCCCTTGGGGAGCAGTGGGCTGCCATGGTGCGGTGCCCAGGGAGCAGTGGGGGGTTAAAGGTCTTGCTCAGAGACCCAGAGTGGCAGTCTGTGGGAGTGGGGCTTGAACTCAGAACCTCAGGATTCTGAGCTCTATGCTCTAACCAGTAGACCCCCACCCCCCCGCCACAAATTCATTCATTCATTCATTTAAACGTCCATTTACTGCCAGAAAAGCTTTACTGAACTAAATCTAGTAAAGCTCAGACTTAGACAATAAAAGTTGTTCCTCATATCTTCCTTCACCTGTTCTTCTAATAAATCATTAATGCTGTTTAAAGCTTTTCATTTTGGACATTTCTCTGGATTCATCAAATCAACCTTCCCACAGGCAGCTCTATAGAACCGCAGCTCCTAGACAGCACTGAGCACCTGATGGCTTCAAAGAGCAGGTCCTGCTCAGAACCAGGTCCAGGTCCAGGTCCAGGTCCAGGTCCAGGTCCCCCCCCACCCCCAGCAGCTGGATCAGAACCATAACTCTGCAGCCATTAAACAAGAACCTGTTCAGAACCACCCACCGCCTCTGTGACCATCATCATCATCACCATCATCATCATCACCTAAACATCAGCCTGCAGATGGGCCATTAAGTTTCCCCCCTCCTGAGGCGCGCGGCGCTGCGCTGCGTGGCGCTGCGTGGGCGACCAGCTAAACATGGACTCCTTCCTCCAGGTTCCTCCTCACGAGCTTCTCCACATTTAGCTTTGATGATCGGAGGCATCCAGCTGTGGAGCGGCTCACAGGAAGCCCGCATTAGGCCGTTAATGACGGCTGTCACATTCCATCAGAACCGAACCGCGTCAGGCTGACAGCCCCGCTTCCTGCTTACCTGCGCAGGTCCCACACCTCCGACCGAACCGCCTGCTAGATCCAAACGCTCCTCCGGTTCTGCAGACCAAGAGGAGAGAAGGAGAAGGAGAAGGAGAGGAGCTGTGGGCTGCTGTGAGTCTGACTGTCAGAGAGAGAGGGGGGGGCAAGAGCCCCAACAGCACCGGAAATAAGCAGAATGGCTCCGATAATAAAAGAGAGGAAGGAAGGAGGAAAGGAAAGAAGGAAGGAAAGAGGTTAAAGCATCAGACATCAGATAGGAAATAAGTGAATCATTGTTTGTGAATCTTTGTCTTTTTAAACAGAAACTGACAGAATCAGGGTTTAACCTGATCACCTGCCTCTAATTGGTATTTTATTTTGAAAGGATAACGGAAGCAGCATCTGACTAATGTCACACCTTTACTGTAAATAAACCTGAGAATGAATCGATGTGTGGAGATGGTGTGGATGTGTGTGGCAGCACCTAAAGCTCACATTAATAAAGGATCAGATCCAAACGGTCAGCAGATCAAACAGAAGGAAATGATGATTAAATCACATTAGCAGATAAAAGCTTTATTATGGTTGAACAGTGGATCAGGTTCACTGATCAAGCAGCTTCCATGAAGTTGGAGCAGAGGAGGTTTGAAGAGACTCAGTCTGCAGGAGAGGATCTATTTTAATGCGCGGGTAGCACATTAAACACATTAGAAGTATAGAACCTTTGAAATGATATTACTGTTATTATAGTGATGATTTGTCTGATAAAATTAAAAACTGTTCTGCTTTATAATAGATGGATACATTGCAGATGTGCTATGGTTAGCTTCTATGTTCAGTTATCCTACAGCCATGTTCAGTGAAGCAACAGAGAGAAGAAGACATGAAGGAGCAGAACCATGATCAACCAGCATGAAGGATGGTGATTGGGATTCGTGGGGAAGCTGCAGCACGACTCGGACTAGTG